TGCTTCCTCTTTGTGTGATGCTCTTTCTCCATCCTCCTGCCAAGAGGAGGATATCAAATGAAGGGGAGGTTGTGGTTGGAGTCAGTAAAGTGAATGTCTAAGTGGCACCTGCTTCATTCAACAGATCTGCTTTCCTGGGGCCTCCCAGTGCACATCTGCTCCTGACAAAGCCTCTTTTCTCCTCCTGTTGGTCAGACTGAGAGCAAAGGCCTGGCAAGGAGACATATTGGTTTTGCTTTGTCAGCACAATTGCCTGTGACATTATAATTACACCAAATCTTCATTATTAAAAAGGCCCCAATTTAGAGATTTTTCAGAGTCTAAATGGGATTTGCTAAGTGAAATTGATTAAAAAAAAAAATTTTTTTTTGCCGTCGTAAAGCCTAGCAATTGGATCTGAGAATCATGGAAGGGGTCTACCGAGACACTGCTGTGAGCTAGACTACAAAGACCATGCTATCAGATTGGCTCGCTAGAGAGGCGTCCAGCAGCCCTTCTGACTCCGCCCAGCCCAGCCTCTCCTCATTCCTTATAGCACCATAACGTGCATCTACACTGCATTGCTCTCGCATGCTGATAGTTTCTCATGTAGAGGCCTAGGGGGCTGGAGGGTGTTAAAATAAGTAAAGGAAAGAACCTGTGATTTAAATAAGGGAAATGCCAAGAAAAACTATATTTTAGGTGAATACAAAGCATCCAATTCCAGATTGAGTTTCCATTTAAACAAAGGCAACTCTTAGAGTGTTACATAGTGTGAAGGTATGTGTCTGTCTGTTGGAGGCATGTTTATGATACAGAGTTGGCATACTGGAAGCTCTGGGAAGGTTTTAGAGCTCTGTTCTGGCTATTTAAACTTAATTAAAACAGAATAAAATTGAGATATCAGTTCCTCAGTCACGCTGGCCACATTTCAAGCGCTCTGTAGCCACCATGTTGGACAGCACTCAAAAAGAACAGGCCCATCATCACAGGAAACTCTAGTGGACTGCTCTGTTTGAGAGTGGTCTGAACCTCTTGAAATGCCTCAACTGCTTAAGGAAGCCTGGGAGTTCCTATTGCAGTCTTGTTGGAAGGAAAAAATGAAATTTGCCTGAATGTTTCTGGAAGAACTCCTTCCAGCCATGTTACCTAGACTGTGTTCTTTTTCACCTTTTTGTATTTTTTTCCTCCAAGAATTTCATGTCCTTTCTCCACTCCTGCTCCTTGTTAAAATATATATATATATACTGAAATATAACCAATGAGAAGGAAATTTAATTTTAGGAATGTCCACTTTCAGCTGACCCTCTCCTTGGCCTTCTAATTAAGCTTTCACAGCCCTGCTGTTGGACCAGAAAGTCCTTTTCTCATTAAACGGAGCATCTTATTAAAACAAGAGGACACGTGAACACTCAGGCCAAGAGTGTATAAACGAAGCGTGCATTGTGTGGACAATGCTGCTTGTGGTTGGAGTCAGTAAAGTGAATGTCTAAGTGGCACCTGCTTCATTCAACAGGTGGGCTGCCAACACTTTCCATTTTCAGCAGCTCTCGGGACCAAGGACAGGGCCTTTCATCTTGCTGCTTCTATTTGTCTGTGTCTGGTAGCTGCTGCACGGTTGCTTTGACTCCTGGAGAAAGCCCATGTAAAATAACAATACTCCCTCAAATTTAGACAGTGTCTTTTGTCTCAAGAATTAAAATCATGCAAGCATGATGTTATTTATCCTCATAGCAGTCCTAAGATAAAGAAGTGGCCTGTTGGTTTTACAAATGCGAGTATAGTCAACTCTTACTTGTTACCTACAGATTATCTGTCATGCAGATTACTTGTGACACATTTTAAATCCTTGGACAGTTTCTCTAAGCAAGCCATTGTAAGCCTGGACCATCTCCTCCACCCCCTGACCCAGCTGCTGGGTACTTAGGGAATACAAATTAGTTTGCATATTAGCTTAAAGAAGACATAATTAGGAAGGTAAGTCTGATACAAGAAAATCACATCACAAATTCTAATTGCAAGGGGGAAATACGAGGGAAATGACCTCCCTCCCTTCAACCAAACTAAGATCTGGTGGTCTGAGTGCACACTGGCACTCGGCGCTGGCATGCTTACGGAAGGCGTTCCTCACGGGTGGAAGGAGCAAGGCTGTGCACCCGGCACCGGATGTGCACGGGAAGCTGCAGCGCCGCAGCGGGGCTGGTGGCCCATCTTGCCCGGTGCTTTTTTTTTTTTTTTTTATTTCTGTGTTACGCTTGTTTTACCCAGGCTGGTCATTTAGGAGCAAGTTGTTTAATTTCCATGTAATTTTTCTGTTTTAACAGTTCTTCTTTGTATTAATTACTGTTTATGGCAGATCGTGCAGGTCGCAAGTGGATCCTGACTGACAAAGCCACAGGTGGGTTCATCTTTGGGGAAAGAAGGAAGCAGCTGGAGGATAGAGTGACTGTGAGGCTGTCATTCCAGGCGCTGCTTCCTGCATGGATGGTGGGATTCCTCTACTGTGCAGTCCCCCTCACTTGGTCAACTGATAGTTTTAGTAACCATTGATAATCTGATTTTTTCTAGTGTCAAATGTTTCATTTTCATTTATTGGCTGGAATTATTTATTTATTTTTGAAGAGACAAGGTCTTACTACGTTGCCCAGGCTGGAGTGCAGTGGCTATTCCCAGACATGATCGTGGCGCACTACAGCTTCGAAGGCCTGACCTCAAGTGATCCTCTCACCTCTAGTTGGGATTCTTTTATGAAGAACTTGTCCCCATGAACAATTTGGCTATGCTAAGTACAGTTCAGATAGGAAAGGCAGGATAAAAACTTGATCAAGGTGAAGTGTATTGGGATAGATTTCTTTCCATTTGACTAAAGCCCCATTACTGTCTATTCCTACTTGCCAATCTGCTTTTTTCAGGTGTCTCACTGCCTAAAGCAAATTTATTTCTGCCCTTTATGTGCTCTTAGAAAGTTTTGGTTTTTTGTGGGGTTTTTTTTCCTAAATGGTGCTCTACAGATTATGCTGAGTGGGGGGATGAAAAGTCAAGAGTACATCTTTGGAAGCTTCCCTGTCTTAGCCTATCCCTGCTCAGATAGAAGAGGCAGGGGCTGGATGGCAGGCACATGGAGTTCACTGTACTACTCCCTCTCTTAGTGCCTGTTTAAAGTTTTCCATCATAGAAAGTTTGAAAATAATAATAACAAAAAAATAAACAAATCTCCATTCCTAACTCGGAGTAACTCCTGATTGGGCCTGCTGTTCATTTCTGCACCTGACTGTTGCAGACTGTTGGTGACTTCCTTCTTCTGAGGTTTGTCATCTGGGCTTCACTTTCCATTTTAAAATACTGGTACACCCTGCATATTGCCATGCTCTATCCTCTGGGACACAGACTTCAACCTTGAGTGTTGTTCCTACCCTTCTTCCTAGTGATTTCTTCTGGGAATTTACTGTGTACCCCTTGCCCTTCGTCTGTACAGTCAGATCAGATGTCCTCCAGAGCAGAGGTCCCCAACCTCTGGCACAGCAGGAGGTGAGTGGTAGGAGCATGAGCATCACTGCCTGAGCTCCACTGCCTGTCAGAGCAGCAGCAGCATCAGATTTTCATAGGAGAATGAAGCTTTTGTGAACTGATGATTTCAGGTGGAACAGTTTCATCCCCAAACCACCCCCACCAGTCCTCCCATCCATGGAAAAACTGTCTTCCACGAAACTGGTCTCTGGTGCCAAAAATGCTTGGGACCACTGCTCCAGAGCATATGCATATTCCACAAGCTTTAGCAGAACGCTTTCTGTCCTGCCATTTTCAGTTTAAAGCCTTCTTGGCGAGATCAGTAGGCCTTGAAGTTAGCTTGTTCATCCCCACATTGGGAGCTCAATTTTCAGGGTAATAAACCATGGTGGTTCTGAGTACTGAAACACAGACCCTGATTGCATCGTGCTCCTGGGCATCTCCAGTAATGTCAAGAGGAAATTATATGTCTAAAATAGGTTTTGAAATACATTTACTAATAAAGTAAAAATGAATTCAGTTTTAATATTTGGTTCGTGGGATGAGGGGCATGAAAAGCTTCCTGGTGGTCTGCAAAATCAGGCAAAAGATAGAATGACTCTGTCTCAACCAGATTCACTGCTTTGAATGTTATTCCAGAAGGAGTCTTTCTTAGTCTTGAGATGGTCCAGCAAGATAGAAGAAAAACCCTGGGTGCTGAAAAGCACCCTGTACACCAAGGCACCTGTGAGGCTGCTCTTGGCTTCATGAGAATACTCAGTACTTGCCAGATGTAAGACATATTTTAATCCATAAATCCCCTAAATGTACCCAAAAGCCTTGGACTTAGGAAACACGGAAAAGGGAGATTAAATATCCTAGGAGCAGCGAATAGAACAGAAACAGAACCACTGGGAAAGAAACGCTTTTTCCCTTCCCCCCTTCCCCTACTATCATGAGGTGACTCGGACCTCCTTTTTGTTTGATATTGACATTCTTTTCATGACTTTCCTTTTCTTGCTCTACATATGTCCTCTTTCCATCTAGTCCTTGGTATTCTCAGCCTCTCTAACTGCTGCCTGCCTACTTTACTGATAGCTTCTTTACTGATTTCCTGTTTTCTTCTTCCACTTCTATACTGGCACATACCATGTATGTTTTTCTTCATATAGTGGCTTTCCTTAGATGTCAGCCACTGATGTAAATATTTTTCCAAGCCTGTAAATGGAAGATTTTTAAAGGACTTCCTTCTGCCTATCACCCCTACAAACACCTGTAGAAACCCTTTCTGGCTCCTTAAAAACTCAAACAATATAATCTGTAATTTCATTTCTTACTCATGCATTCCTCTCCTTTCTAATCATGGTCCTGGTTCCCATTTGGGCCAGTATTTCCCTGATGTACGTAGTTAGCATTCATGTTCATAAACTACAGAAGGCATTACATAATGTCAATTTTCCTTTGGGTTTTAAGAAGTATTTCTCTTCCACCAACTGTCATGTTTATTATTTGTTTAGCTCTTTTTCTCTCAACAGCCATCAGTATTTTTCTTGCAACTAAAGATATTTCCATGACCAACTTGGAAGGACTTCGGGCTGAAAGATTCAGTTACAGCAAACAACAATTCCCAAAGGTTTCCCAGACTGTGAGGGCAAATGAAAGGCCCATTCTTCCTCAGGCTGTCTGTCCTGCTCTATCTTGTCGTGGGGTGAGGGGAGGGCCAGCTCTGGTGCTGGATAACTTCAACAGCCCTGCAGCCCTGTGCTCTGCTTGGCTCAAGCCTGTTAGTTTCTGGAGGAGTTCAGAAATATATCAGGGTGATGACATCACATCAGACTGCTCTGATCGTATTTTCAACACTCTTACTACTTGAGGAGTGGTTTTGCCTGGTTGCTTATTGACCAATGTGCTAGATTAGCAACTGCTTCGTCTACGTCATGGTGCAGTGCCAGTGCCAGTCCTGACCATCACTGTGTTTCAGACGGGAAGCTGCCTGCCAGTCCATCTGCCCTGATTTCATGGCTTTTATCTCTCATCTTTACATCTTTGAAGGCCTTTGACGAATGATGTGCTTCCTGGCAGGAGAAAATCACTGCTGAAAGGAGATCTGTGCTGTCTCTGCTTTTCTTTCTGTTTTCTGAGAGCTTTAGTCTAACATTTGTGACCCCAGCCAGACTCCATCAAACTTCGTACTCAAAGTCATCTTTGAAAAGCAGTGGCGTTTATTATATACCTACTACGTGCCAAGCACTGTAGTAGATTTTACTGTGTCATCCCCCCTCTAGTTCAGCAGCGCTGTGAGATGAGTGATCACCATTTTATATATGAGGAAACAGGCTCACAAGCCATTAAATAGCAGAACCAAGATTCACATGTAGGTCTTTCTGACTCAGAAGCCTTTAATGGAAATAAACAGCCTGGTTTTTTCTCACTTAAAATGCACCTGAACTACAGCACCATAAGAATGTTGTGGAGAAAATTCGGCTTCATTCTGGATCAGAGTCAAAGCTGTTAAGGCTGTTCGGTCTGTGGAGGGCAAGACTAAAGGGAGTACCACCAAGTTTCTGAAAATTATGAAGAGTATGATCAGTTACACATTTTCATATCATATTCAATTATTGAGCACCTATTGTGTTCAAGTTGCTCAGCATTCAAAGACAGTCCTGCCAACAATGCAAGCTTGCAGATTTACAGAGAGAAAAGCAGCAACTCCTTGGGAACAGGTCAGCACATACCTGGGGCCAAATGAATGGTGGTAGCAAAAAAGTCACAGGAGGGAGAAACCTGGTGGGCTGTCCCCTCAGGCAACCCCATGCACTGTGTGGAAACTGTCAGAAGAACTGGACTGAGAGTGGCAGGGCGTAACTCCAGACAGAGGAACCTGCCTGAGGAAGCTCACATGGTACCCAGGGGACGTGGTTGTAATGAGGGGACAGTGTAAGGCGTTTGTGGGAAAGGCTATGTAAACTCCTTCAACTGTTAGCTATTTGCACTTTATTTTCCTGATAGGAGGAAGCAAAGGAATTTTTTTGGTGGGATGGGACGGCTTTTGCCAAACTATATTTGAAGATGTAGTTAACCATTTTATATATACTTCTTCATCCAATAATACTGAATACTGAAAGTAGTTAACCTTGGGAAAAATAAATTCCCCCAAATAAATAAATTCCATTTCCACATATACGTGCACATATGTGTATATATGTAAATTCCATATACAATAGGCAAGTGATGAAACTCACTGCCCCAGGAGAGATCTGGAATAGAGTAGATTGGCTCGTGAATGATAAATCCACATAGTGTGCAAGGCTGTGACCCTAACCTTTAAAGTAACTGTCATTGGCGCCCCTGGTCTACCACAGTGTTCCCCTGGTGCCGCCATCAGAGACAGACCACTGTAAAGCATCATGCCCCTCGCTCTGCAGCGTGCAAGGCCATGCTTCTGAGTAGATACAATCTGCCTCCCATGTAATGTGATTTGAGAGGCATCACTTTGTATGGAAGTTTTAAAAGATTCCTTTGGCAAGTGCTAAGGTAGGCTGATCACAAAGGAAGGCAAAGGATGGCAGTGTTTGTCTGGGGAGGCAGGAGGAAAAGTGTTGAATTTGGGGTCTGTATTCAAAGGGAGAGAATAGCTGGTGTGTTGGATGTGAAGTCAAGGATGACTTCAAAGACTTCAAAGCTTTTGGCCTGAGCAACTAGAAGAATGTCATTGCCATTTATTTGGGAAAAGCATGTTTCACCATTTTGGCTCAAAAATGATACACAACTCGGCCGGGAGTGGTGGCTCATGCCTGTAATTCCAGCACTTTGGGAGGCCGAGGCGGGTGGATCACAAGGTCAAGAGATCGAGACCATTCTCGCCATGATGAAACCCTGTCTCTACTAAAAATACAAAAATTAGCTGGGTGTGGTGGCACGCGCCTGTAGTCCCAGCTACTCGGGAGGCTGAGGTGGAAGAATCACTTGAACCCAGGAGGCGGAGGTTGCAGTGAGCTGAGATTGCACCACTGCATTCCAGCCTGGCAACAGAGCAAGACTCCGTCTCAAAAAAAAAAAAAAAAAAAAATGATACACAACTCATTTAAAAAGAAAAAAAAGAGCCATGTCAAGCCTCATTGTCCTTGCCAGGGGAATGTGGTCCTACAGCCAGGAGTTCTTCCAGAGATTTGGGTCCGACTGCTGTTGGACGAGGAAATCTCTGCTAGCACCTGAAGTTTCTGAGTCACCTCTGACCTTTTTTCCATTTTGACCAATTCTATAAACCTTACCATGAAACTTGAGAAGAAAGGCAGCAGGGGGCCCAAAGAGGACAGCTCTCTCCCTTCTGAGTCCTTCCTGGCCCTCATGTTAGGTGCTAAGGTACATTCTGATATATGGAAACACTCCCAAATCAAAGGCCTGGGCCCCTGACTTTACCATAAGTCGTTTGGGGAACAAAATCAGTCCTCCCTTGGTCTGTATTGAGGTTTTGTTGTTGTTGTTGTTGTTGTTTTAATAAAATTTTTATGTTTACTTTTGAGTTCAGATAAAAAGACAGGGGTTGTATTTACTAAACTTTTTTTTTTTTTTTTAATTGCATTTTACATCCTGAAGATTTTAGTACCCCTGTATTTCAAAGCTACACAAAACCTTAAGAGTTTAATAATGGACACAGGGAGGGGAGCACTACTAAACTCTTAAGGTTTTATGTAGCTTTGAAATACAGGGGTACTAAAATCTTCAGGATGTTAGAAGTATGTGCCTTTATGATGAGCCGGTGGTTTTGGTTCTCACTTGTGAAGGGTAAGGAGCCCTGCCCTGTGGACCTCTAGGGTCTCAGCCAAAGTCAAGTGACATGCAATGAATGGGTGTGAGAGGGCTTGGAAAGGGGCTGTACTGAGGCCAAGGGAGTCTCATTACTAGGACTCTGCAAGGGCCCTGTGAAAAAGAAAAAGGAGCACTTCCACCCCTTAAAGTAGAACACAAAGGTCTTCCTGTTGCTTAATCAATTGAAATGACCCAGAATGCAAACTAGGATTAACATGTGCCTCTAGATTAGGGCTAATCAGGAGCAGGCTGAGCAGATGCGGGGACAGTCCCAGCCTGATTACTGTACCTCAGCATTTAATCATCTCTCTTCCAAGGGCAGCCGCCCGACTTAGTGCATGCTGGGTTTCCAGGCCTCCAGCCCCTCCCCCTTTCCCTTGCCAGGGACATGAAGGCTGCTAGGTCAGAGACACTGAGGCGATTTAATCTAATCCCATGTCAAAATGGCTATGTGAGAGAGAGGTCTTAAAATCCCTACAGTGGGATGGTCATGCATTTATTTAAGGTGGCAGTAGACCAAAACTCTATGTAGAAAATAGGAGAATTGGGGTTTCAAGGCATGGGGGGTTATGAAATGACTCCCATTATGCCCTCCCTCTCCCGGCCTTCTAAGGTGTGTGGCTGTCCTCACCAGTTACTCTTCCCTGGGAGCTTTGGGTGGGGACCGTTTCCTCACCCAGGTGTGGCAAAATGTGCTTCTTCCCTGTTGTCAGCGGTGGAGTACAGAAGATGGAATCTTTCAAAAACAGCTTAATTTGGATGAGTCTTGAATGTAGTATTTTTTAAGTTGCTTTTTTTCTGGGCTGGGAGCTCTTGTTCCAAAACAGCCTCATCACCCTAAGTCTCACCCACCTTAATCTCGCAGTCCCTAGAAGGGACACATGTTAAATCTTAGAAGGCAGGTTTCATTCATGATAGCAGAAAACACTCATGGGCACCTGCTGACTGCTGGCCACTCAAAGATGGAGACTTAATCCCTCCCTTAAGGACTCTACAGCCTCCTTGGGGACAAGACATGCAAGCAGTGAGGATGAATGAGGCTCCTGCCTCCAAGGAGCCTGTGCAGAGAGCCGAGGAGGAGCATCAGTGAAGAGGACCCAAGATGAGGAGGAGAGAGGCTGGGGCTAGCTCTCGGAGGAAGAGGAGGAGCCACCTCCAGGCAGGAGGCATGGACCTCAGTCAAGTAGTTCATCTGGCTGGCGTGTGAAGTGAGTGGGGATTAGTGGATCACCAGGCTTAACTGAACAACAGTGGCCGACGTGAAGAGTTTAAATACCTGCAAAGGGGTTTGGACTTTCTATCCTGTGGGCCACTAGAAACCACTGAAGAACTGTGAAGGAGAACAGCAAGATAAGGTCAGATGTTCTGAAGGTCATTCTGATTATGGCAGCACCAGCCAGTGGATATATTTTTGCAATTTTATTCTGGAAGAAATCTTCCATGATAATATAAAAACTATTTTAACAACAGTATTGGGCATGGGCTCACATCATAGGAAACCCAAACACATCACAGCCAGGGTGAAAGAAATTTACCTTTGACAACTCTTTTAGTCTCTGTTCACACCAGCCTAACCCAGATTGTTGCTCAGTTAGAAAAGATCTCCCTGCACACTGTAGTCTCTGTAGCTGTAAAACAGGGGACTTGTTCCCCAGCTTGGAGCTTTTGGAACTCAATGGAACCTAGAGGCAGGAGCAGTGAAATGAGACTGACTGTTGCTTCTGGTTTTGCTTGCTACTTGCCAGCATGTGGGCTCCCTGAAGGATCGCACAGGTGTCTTGGCCTTGCCACTGGGCATTTTGGGTGACTTTGTTAACTTTGCCTGTTTTGACCAGAGGAGAACATAATTGTGATACACAGGGAGGAGGCGGGGGGCTGACGAGGTCGTACGGTCTTTACATGTATACACTCAGGCCCAGGCCTTGAGTCTAGAGGCCAGGGAGAGGGTCCAGCTGCACATTGGTTGAGGCCAGCAGTACATGACCCTTGAGGCTATGCTGATAGCAACTTGTGGCACACTTTGTACTTCGTACCGTGAGGAACATGAAATAAGCCAGAGCCAGGCCTGATCTGGAAAGAGCCCTCTGTCAAGTGGGAAGGCCTGTTGCAGACATGCATCAACTGGCCCAGCCAGCTTATCCATGGCTGTCCCTGGGCCTCCTGAGAGTCCAGAAGAGGCTGCTCCAGCATTGATGGGGCTGGCATGGGCCAGGTCCCACAAGGGGGGAAAGCTGACCCAAGTATAAAGGGAAAGAGTGGGAGATAAGTCTATCTTGTGAACAACCTGAGCAAAGGCCCAAGAGTGTGGCTACTAGATTGAGGGAACTAAGAGTAGTCTGGGGTGCGGGGTTACCTAGAGCGCAGGGTACCTGCAAGAGAGTGAGGGAGATGAGACTGGAAAGATGGACCAGGGCAAATCATGAGAGGCCTTGAAGACTATACTAAATTATTTGAACTTTATTATAAACTTTGGGAACCTTTTAAATGCCTTGGCATTTAAATGTTTGAGATGAAGGGAGTAACACGTTATGGAAAGATCATTTGGCTGGGTGTAGTGGCTCACGCCTATAATCCTAGCACTTTGGAAAGCTGAGGCAGGAGGATCACTTGAGCTCAGGAGTTCAAGACCAGCCTGGGCAACATAGTGATACCTCATCACTATTTAATAATAATAAAGACAGGTAATTTGAGTGACTGGGAAGGGGTGAACTGAAAGAGGGATTGATTAAAGACCAGAGCCATTTGCAAAGGTTTTGTTGAAAGAAATTGAAGCCCACAGTTTTGTAAGCCAAGGCCTGGCCCCTCAGCCTGTTTTCCACCATGCCCATGTGCTCATGGAGGCTGGCCGCCGCCTCCTCCCTTTCAGGCCTGCATTGCAAGTGTTGGGGGGACTGGCCATATCTTCCGTTTGTGTAAGGGCACACCAGAGGAGCTGGGGTTTCCAGCGATCTGTCACCAGAACAGCAAGCCTCACTTCATGATGTTTCATTCCATCACCAAATGCTTACCCCGTATCCCTAAACTGGCAACACTTACTCCCAGAAAACAGTTACATACAATTTAACATTGGAAAAGAAAATCTTATATTTGATTTTTTGCATTAGAAAATATTTTGACAACCCTTTTTTTGATTAATTTTTATCTTCATCAAAGTAGCCTATGGTTTAAATTTCAACAAGAACTAAAAGGGGCCTCTCCGGGTCAGTTTCTCAATACAGTGGGTGAATCTCAGAGGCCCAGCAGCAAAGGTCTCTGGGTCTGGATGTTGGGATTGATCTAATCCATTAAATTCAGACTTTCACTAATTCTCATTTTTAGCCTCATCCCCTTTCTGTAGTAGCTAGGCCTCTACGTCCTGAGCCCTGTGTGGGCGTAGGAGTTGCCCCTTCCACTTCTCTGATAAATCAGAACCATTTCACATTTGCATTGCATCTTCCAAAAAAACGTTGACATCCCTCGTTTATATCCTTTTTGCCCCATTCACTGTAATTCTAGTTTCAGAAGGAAGAGGAGATGGACGTATACATTAGTTACAGGGAATCCTTTTTTAAAATCTATTATCAGCTTTCCTTTTTTGGGCAGGCCTACCTTTATGGAGGTTATGTTTCTTCCTTTAAACCATCCTTTCTGCTCTGAAATAATAGTGATATTGGGAAGTAGTTGGGGTCTTTTTTTTTAAGTTGACCCCAAAATGTGTTTTTACATTTTACTGGTATGTGAAATCTAAAAACCAGGAAACAAGTGCCCTAGGCTTTTAAAAATAATAATAATAAGCTTGACTCTGAAGGAAGGCATGTAGATGGGGCAGTGGCCAGAAGACAGGATAAGAGAGGGAGAAGCTTTTACTCTTTAGGCTGAGAGAGACTTGCCATAGGCAGAAAGAGGGTTGAAGAAGGCAGTGTAGCCAAATATCAAAGAAAGGTAATGGTGGCCTGTTCCGAGAGGGAGAAGGCAGGCAG